ACTGACCTGATTTCCCCAGCCAGGCTTATAGCCAGCATTTTATTGCCAACCATGAATGTCACCACTTTATGTAAAGTCTAATGTCTTAGAATTTGTCACTTTTGTACGGGACTTGAGGCAGATCTGAAAGAGGCACTGATAGGCAATGACATAAATAGTACATCAAAGCAGTCTTCCACTTACGGTCTCACTCTTTCTGTGTGATAATGCCATTCTGAAAGGGAAGTGGAAATTCAAACAGCGGTCCCCCCTGAGGTCGGTAGCCACTGAGCGTGCCGTCCCCACCCTGAGCCACATAAATAAATCCACTCCTCAAACCCACTGGAGCCTGGAAATCAGAATTTTTTCTACTGACCATTTCAGAACATTAGATAATATTTCTCATTGTCCCCACTTTGCTAAGCTGTGCTTGGGAAGTCTGTCTGGAGGCCTACTGTGGTGAAGCGTCTCTGCTGACTCCATTTTTAGGTACGCTTGGTCTTGGCCATTGTCAGAGTAGTTCAGAATGTTTGACCCTGCTGTGTGCCAAATGTAACTTCACATTTACACCACCTCCCACCTGATCCTGGACCTGCTTGTGCCTGAAACTCTGAAACAGAGACACTAACAAACCTATTAGGCAATGTAGTGAAAATTCAGTTCACCTTGTTTAGTTTCAACAAAAAAATGCATGACTTACAATTCCACCACAAGAAGCTAGTATTTACAAGCAGCGTATTCTAAATCATCCTGATACAAGCCGTTTTGCTCCCGTGAGAACTGAGACATGTGACAGTTGATCTGATGTCTGTGGTTTTTGAAGAGGCGTGATAAATGTGTTGCAGGTGAAACCAAGCGGCAGAAGAAACTAACACTGGCATGTGGACAATAAAGAAAACGATGGTTATGTCATCTCATATTCATTTACAAGCATTCAAGGCAGCGCGCTCTCCCAGAGAAACAAAATCAGTCAGGCGAGGGTTCATCATACAGAGCTGGATGAAGCTGAAGGAGGTCGTGACATCTGTGTGTGCTTTTTCAGGCGATTCCAGGCAGTGTATAAGGAGGCATAGTGATTGTGTCACAGCCTGCATTCAAAAGCAGCAGGAGGACTGAGGTCTGCATTTTGATTTCAAGGCAGGCTAAGCAAGTTTGGTCTGGCTCGGAAACTAAACAGTACCCTCTATTGGATTATACGGAGATTGCGTGTGGTGGTGTCTGAAACCGTCCACCCACCACCATCTGTGAAATTTCAATCCTGTTGAACCACTTAATATACTCAAATCTCACAACCAATGCACTCCATCTAGAATAACTCTTATGTTATAATGACTTTCTTAAGACTTTCTTCTTTTAATCCTGTCAATGTTGCCAAGTGTGTCCAACACTAAAGTACTCCCCCCTTTATATGATGACTCAAGACAATTAGTTTGATTTGGTATGCACTACTGCTGACCACAGATCCATTTAAAAGTTCTTCACTTAAGGCAGGTGGATAAGTATGAAACTCAAATATAACTATATTCAGCAGCCCAATGGGTTTTAAGTGTATTCCAGAGGCCCCCAGGGGTCTGTGGGGAGGCTCCAGGAAATGAGGGAGAGTTTAATTTCATAGCTATTTAACGGACTCAATTGATCAAAGTCTTCACTTTACTCACTATTATAATGATATACTCCTACCTACTAACACTGAGCCAATTTTGGACTACATGGTTTTGAAACTAAATGTGAGCAAAAACACTATCATCCATAGCTTCTTATAATTTTTTTAGTTAACTCAGAAAAAAAATGGAACGCAAAGAAAGTGATGCTGCAGCACTTTCAAGACATAGCCCTGCAGTCTGTTTTCTTTCATTTATACACTGAACAAAATTATAAATGCAACACTTTTGTTTTTGCCCCCATTCATCATGAGCTGAAATCAAAAGATCTAAGACTTTCTCTATGTACACAAAAGGCCTATTTCTCTCAAATATTGTTCACAATCTGTGTTAGTGAGCACTTCTCCTTTGCCGAGATAATCCATCCACCTCATAGGTGCGGAATATCAAGATGCTGATCAGGCAGCATGGGTATTTTTTTATTTAACTTTATTTAACCAGGAAGTCCCTTGAGATTGAAATCTCTTTTCCGAGGGAGACCTGGCCAAGACGGCACACCAGTTACAATTTAAATAGAAATATAGCATAGTCAAAACAAAATCACAGATAAAGGAAAGTAAGTCACATGTGGCAGTTACATTTTTGATTTACATGGCATTTTAACATGGACTTTAATTTAGTGGGACTAGATCATTTATTATTGCACAGGTGTGCCTTAGGCTGGCCACAATAAAAGGCCACTCGAAAATGTGCAGTTTCACTGTATTTGGGGGCAGGGGGGGGATCCGGAAACCAGTCAATATCGAGTGTGACCACCATTTGCCTTACGCAGTGCAACACATCTCCTTCACAGAGTTGATCAGGTTGTTGATTGTGGCCTGTGGAATGTTGATCCACTCCTCTTCAAGGGCTGTGCGAAGTTGTAGTCAGGTCGAGACCCCAATGTGTACGACGAGCATGCAGATGAGCTTCCCTGAGACGGTTCCTGACAGTTTGTGCAGAAATTCTTTGGTTATGCAAACCGATTGTTGCAGCAGCTATCCGGGTGGCTCGTCTCAGACAATCTTGGAGGTGGAGATGCTGGATGTTGACGTCCAGGGCTGGTGTGGTTACATGTGGTCTGCGGTTGTGAGGTCAGTCGGATGTACTGCCAAATTCTATGACATGACTTTGGAGACGGCTTATGGTAGAGAAATGAACATTCAATTCACGGGCAACAGCTCTGGTGGACATTCCTGCAGTCAGCATGCCAATTGCACACTCCCTCAAAACTTGCTACATCTGTGACATTGTGCTGTGTGTTGGAACTGCACATTTTCGAGTGGCCTTTTATTGTGGCCTAAGGCACACCTGTGTAATCCCCATGCTCTGATCAGCATCTTGATATGCCACACCTGTGAGGTGGATGGATTATCTCAGCAAAGGAGAAGTGCTCACTAACACAAATTCTGCCAGACTTGTGAACAATATTTGAGAGAAATAGGCCTTTTGTGTACATAGAGAAAGTCTTAGATCTTTGAGTTCAGCTCATGATGAATGGGGACAAAAACAAAAGTGTTGTGTTTATAATTTTGTTCAGTGTAATTTAATATAATTTGACTCTTTTTTTGCTTCTCGTGGAGGCCAGAGGCAGCTCTTCTCATTGTGGATATGACAACAGCCTGTTTTTTTTTCTTTCTAAAATCTTATCCTCTGCTAATACAGTCCTGCTCCCCATGGCTACAGACACAGACAAGGCTAAGTTATAATTAGGGGCCCAAAGCAAAATCTGCAAGTGCAGCAATTACACATAAACTGAGGAGTAACTAAGATACAGTATAAACTGGCCATTTTTGCATGTCACTGATGTCTCTTAAAATAAAAGCCTGTGAAGCCTTCAAATAACCAAACTCCATATCATCTGCCATTCATAAAGCTATGGTCAGATTAAAAATCATTTGGTGTCAAGCTGCTTTTAATATCCCTCAGGACATGGCATTTGTTTCCCCAGAGACAGGACCTCAAAGCCCACTGTTTAAACAAAGCCGCATGGATGAATGCAGTCCTTTTTTTATTTCCTCAGGGAGCCAGGGCTAATTTTAGCAGTCAAAAGACAGCCGTGACAGACGATATTGTGAAGTGACTGATGGGAACATATCTTAAGAGCTTTACTAACCAAATTGACATGAAAAGTCCTCTTTATTTAAAAGGGGCAAAGGTTCACTCCTCTCTATACTTTGATTATGACCAGATCCCCATGACAGATGAGCCTGTACAGAAGGAGTATGCCAAACACATCGTTGTTTCAATATCTCCTTAAAATCTCCATAGTTAGAGGCTGTCTTCATCATTTTCAAATCCTGCTTCCTTCCGTCCTGTGACACGGAGAGGTGACACAACAAGTGCTAATGGGTACATTTCATGCAACAATAAGGAGCAACAAGTCAGATATGGTCCTGAAATAAAATCTTAACAAAACCATTTTTTTTCTTTTTAAATACACACAAATGAAACCTGTGAGTTTACCTAATTTTACTTCACGACATTCTTGTGGCACAATTGCTTCTGGGGAAATAATGTGCTAACGACATCAAAGGCAGAAGGAACACTTAACAATTACAAAAAGATTAATATGGCTAAAGAACTTGTCAAACACAGGAGTAATCACTCATATTGGTTGCTTTTCATCATTATGTCATTGCTGTGACCCTGATATTGTGCATGCTGGCTACATGGCATGACTTACTGGGATCTTACATGAACTAGAGTCATTGTTAATGTTATAACAAGTCAAAATGTTTGACGAACATCTTTTCTGTTGCTCAGGAACCAGATACCTTGCAGCCAACTAATCAGACTAAACTACACCTAGGTTGCAATTAACAACAGACGTATTCTGGCTGTCTCTCAATTCCATACTATAACATACTAAACAGGGTTTGCAGTGTGTATTTTGTTCATACTGGAAAATCAAAACTATATCCCAAATATCAGCATGCATAATACAAAACCCTTGATTTTCGAGTATGCCAATGATAATGGAGCTCTACTGTCCCACAATACAATGGAGAAAGCAGAGGAGCTACTAACAGCTTTAAACCTGAAATGGCCTTTTTCATGGCAGACATTTTGACTTGTCATAGCAGGAAAAGCACAGGTATAACTACTGAGATTAACAGGTCCATGTTAATTGTCCTACCTGTCATTCCAGTGATTCAACATAAACTATACCAGCACCCTGGAACATAGAATAGAATTATCAATTACACCTGAGTTTTCCTTCTATAACAATGCAAAATGTCTGCTGTGAAATCATGCCACTGTTGAGAAGTACTGTATCCAGCAGTAACCTGCAAAATCCAGCATGTACATACACTAGTAATGCACACACTCAACAGAACAAATGAGATGCTGGGTGAAAGTAAGCAAGACCACCACGCATAAAAATGTTAACATTTATTGCTGTTTCTGAATACCGCACTGAAAGCAAAAGCATTCAGAGTATACACAGAAATTATACAATAATATATGGTTTCACAAAGGCAGTGAACACATACTGTATTACAATCTACAAAAATCTACTTTACAGAAATTTAAAATTCTAAATATCAAAAAGTACAGCTGCAGAAAGAGGTGTAGAACTGGAACCAGAAACTGCTCTGGATATCGGTCGGTGAGACAACATGGTGACATCACAATACAAAGAAAGCAGAAGTCACCTTTGTACTTACAGCTGGTTTTGGAAACTACAACTGGCAGACGAAACAAAAACATACTCCAAAATAACTCCTTGAATTTAATTGATCATATAAATTATGGTGGTTTTATGCATCCAAAAAATATTCATTTTACAGAAGACGCCTCTACAAGGTAGCATGTCATAGTATTGTTCAGTGGGATTGGTAGTGTATCATTGCAAAAATATGGTTACAATAATATAAGGGCACAATAGAAAAAAAAGTCTCCCATCTCACAAGGATGGAGAAATAAATTTTAAAACAATGCATGTTCTCAACTGCCTGGTGGATCTTGGTGGAGTAACATAGGGGTGGTGAGGTGTTAAGTTCGGGTAGTTGCTTGCCTTGAGAACATTTTTACATGAGCTTAAGTCAGGAACAGAAACGGTGGCGGCAGCTCATCTTCAACCATTTCATAATAAGGGGCCGGGTCAGGCTCTGTTCTAACCCTGGTGGTGTGGTACAATGGGCTTAAAGGGTACAAAACATAGACTACCAATCTTGTCCCGTCCAAATGGTTGGAGTGAATGACATAAGAACCAGACCACACAGCATCCGAACAACACCGTTGCCCCCCCAAAAAAGAAGAAATCCAGCCAAGAAACACAAGGCAGCTGAAACCAAGCCTTTTAAGAGAAACTTAAAAGCAGAGGATAAGAAGATCAATAAAATATTCCAGTTAAAAAAAAACAAAAACAAACTTCAAATGAAAATGTGTTTGTATGCCCACGTCAATGCCAGGTAGCCATTTTGGAGGAGTGTCCAAAAGCGGGACGAGGCGTTCGTCTTGTGTGCGAGGTGCAGTTATCCTCATTCCGAGTGACAGTCAAGCTGGATTCAAGGACAAGCTGGTTTATGGTCACACATGGCTGCAAAGGAGGCCTTCAGTCTAGTCCTGCTCCATGGGCTCCTCCGTGGTCCCAGTGTTCAAGATGGCACTTTCCATGGCGCCCTCTGTAGGAGCTTCAGTTGTACTGCTGGAGGGAGTGAGAGCTACGTCTTCTCGGGCTGCTTCTGCACTCTCCTCTATGCTACAGTTGCTACCACTGCTACTGCTGCTGCTGCTGCTGACTGGGTCACTGTTGCTCTCCTCACTGTCCCTGCTGGTCTCGGGGCTCTCCAGGACACCTGCAGGTGCCTGCTGCTCTGTCTGATCCATGTCACTACCTTCCTCCTGGGAGCCACATGGCACCTCCCTCTCAGCCGGCTCAGCCTCCTGACCTGGGCCTGCACACACTTCGGCCTGGGTGCTGCTTGTTGGTTCTGTGTTAAAAAAAGTGGGAAAATAGATGAAATACATCAAAGAGTCTGTTTCTTCAGACTGTAATTACCCTCAATCTTTCCAGATAAGTTAAGACAGATGGCCACAATAAAAGGCCATTTTTGAGTGGCCTTTTATTGTGGCCAGCCTAAGGCACACCTGTGCAATACCCATGCTGGCTGATCAGCATCTTGATATGCCACACCTGTGAGGTGGATGGATTATTTCGGCAAAGTAGAAGTGCTTACTAACATTGATTTTGACAGATTGTGAACAATATTTGCGAAACAGGCCTTTTGTGCACATAGAGAAAGATCTTTGAGTTCAGCTCATGATGAATGGGGGCAAAAACAAGTGTTGTTGAATAATTTTGTTCAGTGTTATGTGGGCTGCGTCTGCCTATACTTGACATTGTTTGGTTTGTAAACAGTTCTGCGGGTAGCTTTGACAAGATTACAATATCCACAACAATATATTGTTATTATTACGGGAATTCTTCCTGCAGCACCAACTATACTCGAGGGTTGTTCAAATTAGGGTTGGGCCGATAGACGATTGGCGATTGCTGACAGACATCACAACGTCGAGCCAGCATCGTGATTGTAAAACCCCTGCCCCCACAGCAAAAAATCATCTCAAATTTTCACATTATACCACTCTTTGAAATCAGGTTTTAATGATCACGGACATTCTTATTATTGTTTTTAAGTATGCTTTGCACCTGCCTCGGGATTCTCTTCTCCCCACACTCACACACCTCAGGAAAACACCCGGCTTGCCCTGCCTCTCTCTCCCTCCGTCTGCTCCATTTTCTCCAGCAGCCGTATGTTTTATAAAGTTATCTAAAAGACAGAGAACTCATCTTTTTTTCCTGTATATTTCCACACGCGATCCATTGTCACGGCAGCTTACGGCAGCATTGTCAGCTTATTAATGACGCAGCCTATCAAACAACTGAAACCAACATCTGCACCCTGTGTTCTCAATGCTGCCTTACCTGGTCGTAAAAAATCCACTGTGACTTGATAGTCTTTTTACTGAGTGATGTCTGTGCGAGAACACCTGCACATAAGATGACTGCTGCTAATCCCGATGTTTCATTGTAGCCATCGCCTAACCCTAGTTCAAATTTTATTTTTTCTTGTTGGTCTGGACCGTGGTCCTAGGGAGGTTTCACATCTGTAATTTTTGTTCAGATCAAACAGACAATCCGAAAGTCCAGACCGAACGAGATTGTCCCCTAATTTACAATGCAAAAATATTATCTCACAAGGATAATTTAGATGGCCCACATTCATCTGACATAGATGCCATGAGAAAGACTTTGGGTGTTGTGAACATCTTTGCTGATCTATTTAACATGTTACAACAGTAGAAGTGAAAATTCTAGTCAAATTTTAAATGATGCGCAAAAGCCAAACACTGACTAGAAATTTTGTCCAACTGAAACGTCACCACAACAATCTGAAAATGCCATGAAATCACAAACACAAAGCAAACTTGTCGTAAATTTGCAATTGCTTAAAACGTGGATCTTTTTCCAGATATTTTTTCGGTATAGTTGGAACACCATCAACCACGTGGCCATTGGACTGTCTGTAGAGTCATTGTGGCACGCTTCCAGCAAATATAACAACGTAGCACTAGACGAAATTACAAAGTTAGGTTGATATGAGCTTTTTTTTTTTTAAAAACAGAATATAAATGATATGCTTCCCAGAACACGGCACATAAAAATTTTCTTGCAACTCGCTGCAAACAAGCTCAAGCAATGTTGCTCAGTCTCCAGTACCTTTGGTAGTTCCCCCAGGGGAAAGTTTTTGATGAACATTTACAAACTGGGGAAATAATTAGAGAGCTACAGAAAAATCAAACTATGCGGATATGATTTTTTCCAGACAAAATGGTGTACAAAACTTTCATACAGGTCAGATATTTTCAATTTCGACAATTTATTATTAGGTGCATGTTGCTAAAACTAACGTCTAATTCAACAGTCCTTTAATAAATCCTCCCTTCATGAAAGGTTTTAATGGTCCGTTTTGTTTGAACTGTTCTAGAGAGGTGCCGATTCACCTGTACGATCGATTTGGAGGCTGCATTTTGTGGGGCTGTACTGCATTATACAGAGAGGGGTTTCTGTTATTTAGCCTACCCACATTGATATAAATGGGGTGGACAAAATAATAGAAACACCTGTTGGTATAATGCAATATAATTCAACAGCACCACCAAGTGCCGCTTCCAAAATGATAATACAGTTGAATCAGCACCTCTCTAGAACAGTTCCAACAAAAACAGAACATTAATTCAAGCAGACTGCACTAGTTTTAGCTAGGTGTATCAAATAAACTGGTAATTGAGTGTAACATGCAGCCATTCGAGCCACAGTCTGAACTCAACTTTTGAAGAATGTGTAGTCTTAACAGCCCATATCATAGTTTCCCTCAATAATGCAAAAGGAATCACAAAGAAACCAACTACCAAGTAACACACGGCACATAAAAAACCCTACCTTGGTCTTCAGCGGCAGCAGCACTGCTGGAGGCTTCACTCTCCTTGCTGTATCCGACTTTCTCCTCTTCGTCTTCCTCTTGGACCATGGCTTCTGCCTCTTTTGAGAGGCAGGCGGCATGTAAAGGCCTCATTGTGTCCACCTCCTGCTCTTCCTCGTCATCCTCCTCATCTTCTTCCTCCTCTTCGTCCTTGCTGAACTTAAGTCTCTTCACCTCTTGCTGCTCGGCTTCCATGTCCTCTTCCGCGTCTTCAGGGTGTTTATTCTTCACTGAATTCCCCAGGGAACCTCCCGACGCAGAAACCTCACTGACAAACAAATAAGTAGGATACAGATGTGATTCCAGTGGGTTTATGGTGAACATGGGGAAAAGGTTATCTAGGCGCATTATAGTTTCTGACATACCTAGAGTCTTTGTCGCCTTCTTGCTCTTCTTTGTTTTCTGTGCTGTCTGGCAGACCATTAGCTGCTAGTGAGTTAGCCAGAGACAACTTCGGTCGGCTCAGCGGCCGGGGAGTTCCAGGACCGTTCACTTTCCTAGTAAAAAGCCAGAGAAGTGAAAAAAGGCATTTTAATGATAATGACAAATTTTAGCTGTTACAATTTCATTGTTGATGATTTTAGGATCAAGGACTAAATATGTCCCCAACACAACCTCTCTGTAAAAGCAGAAGTGTTCCCAGGAAGCATCACTCCATTCACTCTATTAACGGCACTGCATCCATTTTTCCTGCAAAAATTCAGAAAAACAAAACATGAAGCTTTTGATCCAGTGGATTTCCCAAACTTCATATTAAGTTATCGTTTGATTATAATACAAAGTGTTTTATTTGGACAGCACACTTACTCTGAGGTTGGGTGAACACAACTGACCACCATTACATTCTAGAGGAAAACAACAACACAACAATTCCAAATAAGTGGAAGCAAGTGGCATGAGGTTAACAACTTCATAAAAATAACAAAAATTATTATGAAAAAAATAGTGCTTAGGACTTACTTTCTCCACCCCCCGAAGAAACTTATCTGTTCCTGTGTAGTTCCTCTTGGGTTCTGTGAGCAGCTCGCATAAGCGCTGGATCGTAAATGGAATTCTAAAATTAAGAAAAAACAGATTAGACTCAATATTTAGTAAATGGAAATGTGTCATTCTTCCACAGAAATTTACTTAAACATTTTGTTTCAGTCTTTAATTCGGTCAGTTTGGTAAGCACTCAGGGACAGGGGGAGCCTATTAAAGGAAGGTGAAAGTTGTCCATCACAAGTTCCCAGAGCCCAAATGTCTTGTTTTGTCCAACCAACGCTCCATAACCTAAAAATATTCGGTTTACAATCAGTTATGACAAAGAAAAGCAGGAAGTGCTCACTTTGGAAAAGCTGGAACCAGGGATTTTTTTTTACAGTTTTGCTAAAAAATAAAAAGACTGCTGTTGCAATTTTCTGTCCAACCAATCGACTAATCATTTTGGCTCTATTACTTTAATGAAGTAAATCCATCCACCCTTTAAAAAACACCTCCAACATTTGTGATCCTTTACACATCCTTTTACCTGTTCGTGCTGGGTGTAGAGGTTGTCACAGGTATTCTCGGTTCCTAGTAACCAAGACCGGACCCTGGACCCGAGGTGAGCTGGGTCCAAACTATATTTAGTGTTACTGGGTCGGCTCCCGTTCTATTGCAGAGGGTCTTGGGTCTGTGTATCAACACGTCTAATACAGGGATGGATCTGAGCACACTCACAATCATGTCTTATCTTGTGTTGCTTCATAATCATTGCAATAGAAAAAAAGTTTATTGAAGCAATATGAAGGCGAACTGTGAAATACAGGGGAACATTTTATGTTTTGCTACTCTTCATCTTTCTATTTGGGTCTGTTTGAACTGACTTTATTTTGGGTCGCCTCTATTTTAGGCCAGGTGACTGTCCTCAGGTCCCATTGGATGGGGTATCTTTATTTTAAAATGAATATATGCACATCGGGTTCAAGTTCCACAAGTCTGTTTTGGATCAAGTCCAAAATGTTGAACCCATGAAGACCTCTTGTCTTAAGTTTCCTAAAATTTCAAACCAACACTCCTGAGAGAGACCTGGGCTGTGTCTAAAATCACTTCCTCGTTCACTCACTCGCTACTCCCTATATAATATACACCCAATGGTTTACAGTGAGCTTAGTAGGGCTGTCGCGGTGCAGTAATTTCCCCCGCGCTAATATGTTGGGGCTCAACAGTGCAGTATGATTGCATTTTTCATCAATGAAGTAATTTGGTGCCATATAGCATAGTAAGTGTGTCTGTGGATCTCACCTCACTGAACAGCGAGCCGCTAACTGCAGCTTTATGGTTCGGAGCCGATGCTAGTCAACAACATTGCAAAGCAAACTCATTTTAGTAGTTTGACCATGTCTTTTTCACACGTAGCGTTAGCTATATCGCTATCTTCAGGTCTATCAAGTACATTTAAATACAGCAGCAACGCACGCACACACACTCACACACAGGTGCGGAGCAGAATGGGCTGTCCATAACCAACCACTTCACTGTAGTAACGTTAATGATATAATTAAGCTTCCACAGAAAGCAACATGAAAAACAGCTGCAGGCATCCGACACAGTACGCTCCTTAGTGAGCTTCAAATGAAGCTTACCGTTCAGTTTCTCTCAACTGTCCCTCAGTATCACAATGTTAGACCAACATCACTGAGCCTGCTAGCCACATTAGCTGTGCAATATGCTAACGCCAAGTTAGCTAACCTTTAAAATAAACAGTAAAACACAGTGTTGGAGCCATAATAAGTTTATTCCAATTAAGTCACTAATTTATAGTAAAACAAGATGATTTGAATGAAATTTAGACTATGGATTTTGATTTAAGAAACTTGAAATAACTGTTAACTAATGTCAGTAAAAATGATTTCCTCGACTCCTCCTTACTAGGTCATTTCACAGGTATAAAGACGGGCTGGGTGACAGCTTGGGAAGTTCCTTTTGTTTGAGTTAGAGTGGAGGACTGAAACCGATTAGTGACCACATTGTTTAGACTATTTGAAGAGTTTAAGAGGCTCTGTTGAAAGTCAACCAGAGAATTAGTTTTTGACGTAATAAGTCTTGTATTTGAACGAAGCGGAAGGATCTTCACGAATGTTTTTATACAGACTAGTCACTATCCTCCTCCAAAAAGGCGTCTGAGGTTGTTCTGAGGAACAACAAAATAATTGAAAGAGATGGCAGGACACATGGCAACACTTACAACTTTCAAGTTCACGTACAGCACAATCTGTCCTCTAACAGTTATGGTGCTTTCCTCGCATGAGTACATTCGCTGAAATTTTCAACTCACGCAAAGTAAATGCGCCATACTTGTATAGCGCCTTTCTAGTCTTTTTGACACTCAAAGCACTTTTAAAACTACATATGCATTCACCATTCACACACATTCATACACTGGCGGAACAGCCACCAGAGGCAATTTGGGGTTCAGTATCTTGCCCAAGAATACTTCGACATGCAGCCTGGAGGAGCCGGGGGATTGAACCGCCGAACTTCCGATTAACGGACAACCCGCTCCACCTCCTGAGCCACAGCCGCCCCATTGAAGGCAAAAGGCCTTTGCGTCGCCGGCACCACCCCTTCACCATTTGCGGTAATCGCGACAGCCCTAAGCTTAAATAAATTGAGATTTACGACATTTATAATTCATCATTATTTTTCAAAACCACTGACGTGTTAAGCATCAGTAATTCTTGCATCTATACTATAAAACGCATTGTAGGATATTTAGTGGTTCAACTGCAGGAATATTGCAGGGCACTATGTAGGACAATTTGACACTAAGAATTCAGACACTCAATAAAATTGGGTAAATATATAGTGCACGACATAGTAAATTGGGAGTGATTTCAGATACATTCCTGGTCTTTAGCCCACACAGAGAAAAAAAAAACAAAAAAAAACAAAAAAAAAAAAAGAAGAGTACATTACTCCAGCAACATCGAATACACACAGATTTAAACGATGTTATCAGTGGAGCCAGACCTTGCCATGCAATTTGAGTCACAATGAAAAGCCTTACGAAGTACGCTACTAATGTAAAAAAGCCGACAAAATCCACAGTACAATAGCATTTTACAGTCAACACAGGACATAATAATTATGTTATAGTCTACAGATATCTGTGCGGCAAACAAGGTGAGCTAGAGGACACCTACCCATTGTATCCGTTCACAATCTTCAAGATTCTCTCCTTCATATCTTCAAATGGAATGGACTCCACGTTGGGATTTGCAGGACCTCTTTGTTCAGGTGCGGAGGCTTTAAAGTCATCCATCACCTTCTCCAATTTAAACAGGAAGTAGTTCTTAAATTGAGACCACTGAACCCTAGAGGAAAATAGTAGGCAGAATAAGGCTCAACACATCCGGCAAAACACATTAGAATACAGGGAAAACTGTACGAATACTATGGATGGTTACTACATACTATTCTAACATTTTATTTAAGAGACAATATAGTTATATAATGACACTGAAAAAAAAATATATAAAAAAATATATATATATATCCTGTCAAATTATCCATTGGCAAATCTATTTAAAAAAAAAAAAAAAGTATGAATACTTTTACAGTGAGTTTCCCAAAAAGAAATAATGAAGTGTGTGTTGTAGTAGGAGAGAGGGGGGATGTCAGGCCTGCAATGTTCACTTACATGGTCTCTCCAGTCTTGGCAATGTGACATAGAAACTGTTCCAGAAGAGGACATGCCTCCTTCTTTGCGGTCTTATCGAAATCTGAGGGAGAGAAAATAAACCACGAGTGAATACTATGACTGACAACGCGTTACGCATAGCTTGACCTGAGATTCAGAGAACATGCTTTTATTTAACCTAGCATAACCTGCACTTGTGATATCCATGCTTATAGCATAGTTGTTTGGCTACCTGCAGTGATTACCTACTTTAGCCAACTAAATGTAGCTCGTTAGCAAGGCTCCGACTGCACTTTGGCGGAAAACGATCACATTGTCTAATAAACATTAGCTATTTACATAACGTAGCGGGCTAGTGGGCGCTAGTAAGGTTAGCGCACTGGCTAGCATGTAAAGTTAGCCGCAACAGCGTAGCCGGCAAACAGTAGTCTACCGATAGCCGGTGACACCGGCCAGTTACTTCATCTAAGCCAAAAATATCTGTCAGCAAGTTGTCAAATACTGAAGGGAAATGCATGTACGCCCGGAAGTAACTAACGGTTACAGAAAACCATTATATTTTAGTTAGTTTTCTTGCCTGGCTAACGAATTGGACAGGCAGCTAACCATTTCCGTGAAACCGCCTGTTAGCTTGTCCTGAGTAGCAGCTAGCTAGCAACATTAGCTTGTGAGATAAAATCGGTTTCTTTTTTTTATAATCTTACAATTACGAAAGCACACGTATAAAACACATAACGTTACTCTCCGTGAACACAACAAGTATCGAAATACAGTGAAGTGACCTCTGAGCGCCTCTTGAAGCGAGTCAATTTCCATCACGTCGTTGCCCTCTGTCAGTCTTGAGGATGTAAAAATCTGACTGGTGGCTAGCTGCTGCTGCTAAGCTACGATCTCACAGGGAAAGAGGAGGGAGCATTTTAATATGGCGCCGTGAGGTCACTGCCTGCTCAGCAACAGACAAGGCACTGCACTGGGCACTCTGAGCAACAGAGACATATGACATAACTGCCTTTAAAATACCTTAAAAAAAGATAATACTTGATAATAACCAAATATAATCAAACAAATAATGATAATATAGCAATACATCAGTTAAGAGGTATAATGAAGTGCACAGATGCGAGATATGAGTAATGTTATTTAATCTACAGATATCCTATGCATGTTAACACATCTGTAGCCTACACTACTGTGCTCCCTCCCACATCTGCCTATCTGTGATAATGTGAATTTGTTGGAGCATGTGAAGACACTAAGAAATTTTGGTTTATCCATTGCAGGCAACACAATGTTCTTTAGACTGGGACAGGTTTTTTGTCAGTAGGTCTGTACAATCTGGAAAATGTAATTTGCTGTGCCCAAGACCCTTTTTTTGGATTCAGGAACCGAAACTGGGACTATATTGGTTTGAAACCCTTACGGGACTTCCTTATCATTTTCCTCAAACATTAAAACAAACTCCTCCATCCACATGTACAGATCACCTGTATCTTGAACCCTTACCTTTCTAGCCCTCTGTCATTATGTCTTTCTTACAATGTTCCCACTTCTCCCCTTGTTAATCTCTAATAGGTTTAAATTGACTTTTTGTTTTGTCTCTTTGTAATTTCCCTCCATCCCATTTTATTTTATGTTCTAACAATTGTAATTAAAAGAGAAAGTTGTCCTCTAAAGAGGGGTGGTTCGTGGTGGTTCAATAAGTTCAATAAAAAATTAAAATTAAAAAAAAGTTTAAAAACAACTATCAGCCACTGGCAAAACAGGTAAGTTCAGTTAAAGTAATGTTTTAAAACAACTACCACATTATTATGGTATCAAACCAAACTAAATCTAACTCAGAAGATTGTGTCAAGGCAAAACTTTAGTATTGTGAGACAGAAATTACCGTTACTATTGGTCAAGCACCAACATAAAATGTGTCTTACCTACACTTGTGAGAATTGTATGTAACTGGATTGTTTTGGTATATTTCAATCCTCATAAATTGCATATATGTGTAGATGAGACTCAGTACATTGCATTGATTTATTTATAAACCCATGTTGACTGTACAGCCATTTTCAGTTTCCAGTTTGAACGATATATTTAGATCATTACATCACATGAGTAATGCTGCTAAAAAGCATATGACCCATGTGTTCACAACAGACCATACATCATATTACAAACTAAGATACTGTCTCAAAACACATCCAGATACAACTCATTATCTTGTAATAGTAAACATGGCAGACATGAATATTTATATGGCAAAATACAGTTGCATTCAAAATCATTCAACCCCCTTAACCTGGCAAGACATTCTAGTGATGTGAATAAAATTCAATGTTAACATATCAACTAAGGCCTTGGTAAACAGAAAGTTTAATAATACATTTTGAGAACATAATGTTGGACTTAATAATAGTACTAAAGATAAATAAAATATTCTCCAAAAGGCCCATAAGCAAAATCATCATCTCCAAAGTCAATATTTTGTCGAGCATCCTTTGACCTTTTTGGCCTCCACTAAACATTTCTGGTAGTTTCTCACAAGCTTCTGCTAACACCTCTCTTTTGGACTTTCAGCCCATTCCTCATGTGCAAAAACTTCCAGCTCACTAATATTCTTTGGTTTCCGTGCTGCCACTCCTTTCTTCCTTTCTACAAATCACACTAAAGATTTTCACTAATGGCCACTCAAGGAAACTCCAGGAGTGACCCCTGAACCAAGCGTTGCATGCTTGCATGGTGCTCATCTGATTGCAACTGTAATCAGCTGTAGTATGTTACTATTTTTAAATGCTTTTGGTTTTGATTCACTAGAGACAGACAGACTAATGTGGACGTATTGTGTGCAAACAACAATCCAGTCCTAATATCATTCTGAAAGTGCATTTTAACATTCGGTGCGTAACATAAAGGTCCATATTTCCTCTGTTGTGCTGTATTTAATACTGTCAGTGGCATTTGGCAACTGAGAACAGACCAGAACTCTTCTCATTCACACAGGCTCACATTTCAAGTTATTTGCTGGTAAAGCATTCACATGATTTTAGAGGAGTGGTTTACATATCTAGAACTTCAAGTAGTAAGTCCAAAGTTGACTTTGTTTAGTCTATACCATATTCAGGATGAAAAATAAATGTCGATACTTTGTTAAATGCTCGGTTGACACACACCTTATGCCTTAAATGTTGCTTTTAGCCTACACTTGAGATGAAGAGCTGATATTTTCATAATTCTTAACACAAAAAAAATTCATGCAGTCATTTTTTGTTCACTGTAGCTTTCCAACATACATACATGCTACATTTCACCACTGTACATAACTGGGATTTGAAAAGTTTAAGACAGCAATAAGGCAAACCTATTCTACGGCATCACTGACCAGCACTGTATGCTTCTCTGTATACATAGGCTTATTACCCATCCCATCACTAGAGGATCATTATGTTCATAAGATCATTCCAGGAAGTGTTCTGTGTTGAGTACACTGCAAAAATAGAGCCGACAGTTCAATCTGGGAGACACTGGTATGATACATAATCCACAGAAAGATGGTCCTTGGGGTTTTCAGATAAACCAGGGAATCAAAAATCTGTTATTTGTGCGGTCTGACGTGTCGGATCACTTTGTCCTCAAACACCTTCCTCATGGTCTTTTCTATCTGCTTGAGGAAGACTTGAGGAATCCGACCACACAGGGTGTTGACTGTGTCCAAGAACTTGGTCTGGATTGGGAAGAACAGCGACTGGAACATGTTGTCCTCAAAGGGAAACTGCAGGAACAGAGACATTGTCTTGTGTCAGTTCTGATCCCCACGCTGTTTCAGTGTGATCGTTTTTTTTTTAATGGAACATACCCCAGACTGAATGGTATTTACAAATTCCGTCAGCAGGGGTGTGGTGAGGTGGTGGTGTTCTGTATTAAATTATGACCCAGCCCGTCTTTAAGAGGCTTATCTCGGCAGAGCAGGGGGGAAGCTTACTCTGCTGTCGGAGAAAACAAATTCTAAATTTAAAAGCTGACCCAGATTGTTTAATGCAAGCAAGAGAGAATTTGTATCACAGAGAAAATACTCAAAGCTCTCTTTTTCTGAACTGAAGTTGCTAAAGGACGATACAGAAATATCCTTCTTTGCATTACCTAGAGATAGTTGAAAGGATTAATATCAACAACTTTTCAGTTTTTGAGATGTGTATATTTTTTAAATTTTGATAGGGCTGGGCTAGCAGTTTCCCCCTGCTCACAGTCTTTATTTACACTGCGCATATATGGTTTGAATAAATTTGAAGGGCTATGTATGGAATTTATCTGTATAGGTCTTAATGTTTATAGAAAACTTTTAGCTGCACATAATACTTATAATTACTCTAAATAACTTGGCCTTCAATTTAATAAATCCCTAACAAATCATATTCAGTTATATACTAAGTTGGGCCTATTACTCAAAATAAACATATATCTTTTAATACTATCCATTATATTACTCTTCCAGTACACAACCTCAGTAGACCCAGTGCACAGCTGATACGCCATAGCAGGGAAAGCGCAGGTGTAACTAACTTTACTTTAACTTTAAAGATGGATAACACCTTAGTCCTGGAACTGGTACACCTAAATGGAATGCAGCAATCGTCAATGTGATTAGTACCGTCCGTGTTTTCTGTTGTTTTAAATATTCTCAAAACACACATGAATTAAAATGTTTCTGTTGTTTCCTAGGTAATGACCAATGGAAATTAATTGGACTTAGAAATCAACATTTTTTATTATACAACTGTAGTGTAATAATTACAGTGGTGGTGGAAGTATTATAATGGAAAGCAATGTATATTACTATTATTATTATTATTATTATATAACTGTGTTATTTTTACTACAACTAATTAAATAATAGTGTCATGTTATTGAGTGATCAACCACCTCCCAGTGTGTGTGCAGTTTAAACATAGGTCTCTCTTCTCTATATATTCAGCTATATTCTATATGTATATTCAGAAAAACTTGAACATCCTATGGAGATACTTACATCACGTATTGCATCATAGACTACTTTGAACGCTGGCTGCTTGTCATCATGATACACTCCACGGTTGCCGTGAAGAATAGACACACCCTCCTCTTCAGCTCCTTTACAGTTACTCCCGTACATACAGTGATCTGGCCTGTAGTTCCACTGGCAGGGAAAGATGAAGAGACACTCTGGGGGGAAAAAAACAACACACAGGCAGACATCAATGAATCCATATGGATGCAGTGTTTGAGGGTAGAGCCCTATTCATTCTAAAGAAAGTTCTTCATCCAGCCTATACCCAGCAATTCAGGTTTCTGCATTCAAAGGCTGATGTGATTTAGTCTTCCTCTGGCTTCACCAGGCTGACTGGACACGCAGGAAAATACTTAAAATTCATGAATAGATTATACTGCACCTCATGGTTCAAAATGTGATAAAAAAAATGAAAGTCCTTTCATAGCAATGGTTGTGTATGGCAAAACATGTTTCTGGATGTCATGTGACTGTGGCAGTTTTTGCCACACAGCCCAGTTGTGTTCTGGAGGGCTCGTGTCCCACACATTAACAACGCAAACAATATAAAGAAAAAAGACTAAAGGATGTAAAATTGAGTGGTTGGGGACAGAGTTAGGAAAATGTCAACACCTCTGTACAGTGTGCCAATCTGATTGTTTCTCCTCCCATCTATTTATTTATTTATTTGCACTTAAACAAAGATAGCAACTAAAGACCACTGAAAACACACTAAACTGTAAGGTACATTTGAACAAAGCAATCAACCTCCAACTGCTCCGGTACAGCAGCTCAGCGCTGATGATTACTACACTAACAAAACCATACCACGTAAAACAAGCACTTCATTGACTGTGTTTTCAAGCAGACACCGGCGATGCCAGCTCTCCATCGGCTCTTAATGCCCTCATCTGGCTGCTGCA